TGTAGGTTATCGTTTTTTATGTTCTAATTAGTTGTTGGTTTTATATTACGCATTATTTAATTTACAGTATAGTTTCAATGTTCCACATAGCTTATAGTCTAAATGTTCCCCATAGTTTAGGGTTTATATTTCGCACTCTTTAGTTTACAGTATAGTTTTAATGTCACATATATTTTATTGTGTTTATTGTCTACACGGGTTATCGTTTTTATGTATCACATACTGTAGTTGATGGTTTTATATTCCGTATACATTAGTTTACAGTGTAGTTTCAATGTTCCACATACTTTATCGTGTAAAGGATTTCCACATAGTTCAGTTAGATTATAAACTTGGACATTTTCATATCATTTCTTGGTAATGATGTTCCACATAGTTTTTCTTGATTCGTACTACATAGCTCATCGTTGCTATGTTTCACATAGTTTATAGTATTAATATCCATACAGTTTACAGTATTTATGTTCCACATAGTTTATCGTATTTATGTTTCACATATGTTATCCTTTTTATATTCCAATTACTTGATGGTTTTTAGAATTCCGCATTCTTTAGCTTACAGTATAGTTTTAATGTCCCACATACTTTATCATATTGATGTTTGTTCCACATAGGTTATGGGTTTATATTCCGCACTCTTTAGTTTACAGTATAGTTGTGACAGTGTTATATACTGTATTAGAGTAGAAATATCTATGTTAGGATAATTCTGTTAGCCTATCCTTATTTAGTTAACTTCTAGTTTGGATATACTGTGTTTTAATATAGCACTGACATTTTATGACAGTGACGCATATACACATTGTGATTGTAACTTACTTATGGTAGATTGTAAATTATCGAGGAAATGTTCCGTGATAGGACATATCGCAATCTGACTATTCTGTATTAGTCATCAGATGCCTATTTCGTAAATACTGTTGTTTGCATTAAGGGAGCAGTAGCTAAAATTAATATCTAATTCAGTAAATGATTCCAAAGTTAATCGTACTAACTATGACTCATGAACTATATAAATGCAGTATATCGTGTAATAGAGTCGATTCTTAAACTTAGTGTTTAACGTAAAATGCGAAGCGTCCAAGTCTTTGTATAGTCTGCTAGTAGAGCAAAAGTGTTTCTGATAGTGCAGATATCGTTCCTTGATACGTGGTTGAAGGAATTGACTTATTGATCGTACATTACGTTATCTTGTTGCAAAGCTGTCTTGTGACAATAGTTTTAATGTTTCGCATAGTTTATGGTATCTATGCTCTACATAGCTTATAGTCTCAATGTTCCACTCAGTCTATCGTTTTAATGTTCCATATAGTTTATCGTATTGATGTTTCACATAGGTACGACGATTTTTACTTCTAGCGACTGAAGATGAATAAGGATAGAGCTTCGGCTCCTGCGTCCCATTGTACGGAAGAGGAGATAAACCTCGGATGCCAACAATTTTAAATTTTGACGTTGCTAGAAATAAATCCTTTACAGACGACATAAATATAGAACGGGGTATTGTAAGTGGTAGAGTAGTCTTGTTACTACGATCCACTGAGATTAAGCCCTTGTTCTCGCGATTTGTTTTTTTGCAAGTGCAGAATGTTCCACATAGATTATAAACTCTGCTGTATTTTCTCATCTTGTTTTGTATAGTTTATCATTCTAATGTTCTACAAAGTCTATTGTTAGCTTGATCCATATAATTTATCGTTTTAATATTCCACATAGTCTATCATTATTGGTCTAATGTTCCACGTAGTCTATCGTTATCTTGTTTTGTATGGTTTATCGTTCTAATGTTCCACATAGTCTATCGTTATCTTTTTGTATAGTTTATCGTTCTAATGTTCCACATAGTCTATCGTTATCTTGTTTTGTATAGTTTATCATTCTAATGTTCCACATAGTTTATCGTTATCCTCTTTTGTATAGTTTATCATTCTTATGTTCCACATAGTAACTTTGCCATTTTCTCATCAATTTCTTGGTTACAATGTTCCACGTAGTCTTAATAGTTGCCAGTTGACTAATTATGGTACAAGATTTATGTAGCTAGAAACACTGTAGGTGTTAACATGCCCTTCGGAAAGGGGCCTAGACGTTAATAGAAGAGTAGCCAAATCTTAAGCAGAATGATTAAGATTGTAGAAAATAATGATGTACTATTATAGAAAAGTATTTTGCTTGATGACTCATGTCTGATTGTAGATTAATCAAGTTGTCATAAATGGATTGAACCAAATGTTTATAAGAACTGCAGAGATGAGCTCACAGAGGAGAAGAGACTTACTTCGCTTTGAGCTAGGAATATTTTAGATTTTAGACTAGATTCTTGTAGTAATTAATTATTGCTCTACTATTCTTAAAACCTTGTAATAAAAGTCTTTAGAAAATACCGTTTGACTAGATAGGTATTGTGAAACGCATTTATTACACTTGTTTTGTACTGTATACTGTATAGTTTATTATTCTAATGTTCCACATAGTCTATCGTAATGTTTTTTTGTATACAGTAGTTTAGCGTTCTAATGTTCCACATAGTCTATCGTTATTTTGTTTCGTATAGTTTATCGTTCTAATGTTCCAGGTAGTCCATCGTTACCTTGTTTTATATACTTTATCGTTCTAATGTTCCACATAGTCTATCGTTATCTTGTTTTGTATAGCTTATTTCTCGTTCATTTAGTAACTTAAACGATACAGATCAGATTTATTCAAAATGTTAGTTACTTTTCACGTTATATTTATTTTAATTCTTAACACACTAATCATACACTGTTATGCGACTTAATTCTTCGAATACTCTCATTTATGCTTTTTATTGTAGCTATGAATCCCTACAAGGAAATCTGTTAGCTTGCTGTAATAGCCCGTGTGAAGCTCAGTATACTGTACTCCGATGTTTTTGACATGGCTTATACTTATTTAAATTTCGCACGGCTGTACAATAAAATATCTTAAACTATGGATATGTATTCAATAAAACCAATACAGTACTCATTTATATTTCTGTTACAAACCAGCTTCGTGACTAAGATAACGTAAAATAAATCTCTAAATTACTATAGTCTCCGGGATTCAGTATCCCTTAACTACCTCACAAAAATTTAGAAGCCTTTACTTCTACGTTAAAACAATTATATAGCTTTTCTTTTATTCAACTATCTGTCGAGCTTAAATACTCTTGGCAGCAGCTATCATGTATGAGTCATAACAGTTCATGAAATTTAGCTCATATTGGATAGCTAAATTAATACAGACATTATTTATAATTTTGGACATGTACTAAACGATTCTAGATAATTAGAATACAGTATGTCCACACACAGAATTATTTATGGTATCATCTATAATTGAATATCTTCAGGATATTCATCACAAACGTTTTAAGACATAACACTATAATCAATTAATATTAGTGACCTTATGAGAACTTTTACTACAATACAGCATAATTTACTGTAACAAAATAACAACTACCGCAGTTCTTACTGTAAGTCATCATTAGTTATCTCCATATATAAATGTTAAACACTAAATTTAGTCATTTACTCTTCATGGTGGTTCGAACCGTGACAATTTCTTGTAGCTCGCACTTGTCAAGTTGCAAAAACTCTAAGCGCTTAACTATTTTCCTTTAATCCATATCGCTAAAGTCCTCCATCCGTAAAACAAATAGTACATCACTACTACAACACCTTATCATATCAGGCAGGCATCAAAAAGCGAAAAGTCTTGCAATGTTCCGCATAGTTTCTCGTTAGTATGGTACGAGTGCCGTTTAAACGGTAATAAGTTCCTTATGCAATACAGTACTGTTTAGACTTATACGGTTATACCAGAGGCTATTTAAAAAAGGAACACCATACCACTGCTTATACATAGCTGACATTACGAAAGTGCTAAGATTAGAGCAGTATCTACAGTATGACAATAGGTGCAACTGCGTCTGTGAGTATGTGATTAATTGAAAGGTTTAAAAAGAAAAAATATTTCTGGTCTTAAAGCTTACTTCACACCACCCCTAGGTGAAAATAAATATCACTACTTCTGTGACTTGTTAACAAGCACTTTGATTACAAGTAATGCTCCATGGTCATTATTAGATAATTCATATTTCAGATAAGATATGGGGATTCTTCGACCCGATGTTACTCATTTGACAGTGCGAAAGGCTTCAGCCAAAACTCTTGATCGGTTACATGAATTGAATATCTGGGAGTGTAGGAAATTTAACGAATCGTCACATTTTATTACTCTTGTGCTTAATAGTTTAACAGATCAAACTAAAAAGAGCCTGACAAATTATTTAGCGATCAACGAAGAATGTACATCATATCTGTTGGATATCTTAATAGAGACTCCAGCGAAATAAGCTTCGGCATATCGAGACGATGTTATTTCATTCGTAGAAAAGATGGACTTTAATGCAGATACTACGTTACACATGTGTTGTGATTCAGTAGGAGTATATTATAAAGTACATGAACTACTTAAAAAGAGTTTATCGAGTCCATTTACTCTAGTCGAAGTCTGTATGGCCCATCTGTCAAATTTGTTTCTCTATGATTTGATCAAGGTATGCCCATCTCTTCTCAGTTCAATTTGTAACAGTACGTACTGTAAGTATCTGTAACTATCTTATCTTGTACTGAATATGATAGCCAATCAGAGAAAAAAATCGAATGCCTTGCTAGGAGCTATAGCTATACATATATAAGTCTAATCCTTATTATGATTAAGCGAGGATTACTGCCTTTTCTGTACCGCTGACTGCTGGAGTAGCCATCGGTAATCAACCTGTCAATAAAGCTCCTTCCTTCATCCTCAACTTGTCTACACAATCCTTGTGAGTCAGACAAAACATTACACAATTCACGATGCTACTAAAATTGCACGATTACTGAATACCTTTACTGCTTTGCACAAAGCCGTATACACTGAATTGCAGCGCAAAAGTGGATTAAGTTCTTTTGCAATCTGGGTTCCAACTAAAATGAGATGATAGTCTAATGGTGTTTGCATTAAGCAAGTAAGTACTTCGCATGCGTGACTTCATTTATCAACTTTGATTACGGATAAGGAAAGACCATATTTTAAGAAATCAAAACTGATTCAGCGGGTAAAGAAAACTATTGAAAGTGATAAAGTATGTGAATAAATGAAGCTAGCAAACCAGACGTTAACTCCCATTTAATTCTGTGACTAGTTTAAGTGAAATGGATAACATATCTTTGGGAGAAATTCTAGCGGTATGGATATGGCTATATACCTTAAGTCAAATGGCGAATTAACTAGACGATGATTCATGAATTGCGTTAAGTGACACCTATTTCAGGAGGTTGCGGTGTTTTGGAGAACATCATTATCTAGCATACATCCTCTTAGACCCTAGAGTTTATGAGGTCGGGTTGACTGCTAAAGGGACGAAGAAAAGTCATTATGTGCACTCGTACACTGGCTAAAATGAATTATTATTAATATCAATTCTGCGAGTTTCGTGAAAAATTTGATGGATTATCTGAATAGTACAGGTTGATTTACTGATGACAATGACAACTGGATAGGAGTAAGTAAAAATCCTATACAGTTTAGGATTACTGCTCAGATTATGAAGATTTATCTTTTATAGGAAAAATAGTGTGTTCATATGTTCTTCAAGCAGCATTTACAGAGAGAAATTGGTCTTCTCATATACAGTACGCATTCACACTAAAGAACGTATATGGCTAAATCCAAGTAATGTCGAAAAAATCTCTAAAGTAAAGCACGCATACCGTAAGAAAACAAAGGAATCGAACGCAGACGTTGCCAAAAAGTATAGCAAGGTAATGGATCCTTTAAAATTCTATTAGTACGCAAATCTTGTTAGATAGCAATGGGCCTGAACCTTTAGACGCTGATGAGTACTTTGAACCTGTTATTCAAGCGGAAAGAAATGAAATTCCTATGGTTATTGAGCGTAGTGATGATAAAAAATTGGACGATACGGAGATGGAAGCGGAAGATAATCATTATGAAGCGGTCGATTCGAACAAAAATGCATCTCCGGTGTCAATCATGAATATTCTGCAATCATTGGAAAATGATTTACCTTCTGAATCGTATAATATCAATTTATGTCCAAATAATGAAATCATCGCATCCATTGCCTCAGACTGTTTAGATGTGTCTCTGGATAGTCTATCAGTCACTCAATACTCAATGACAGCATTTATTGATATTCTTGTATTCGTAGTAATGCTCGTTTAAGTTTAAATATATTGGTCATTTGATCGGTCATGTTTATACAAAATAATAAACTAACCCTTATTCCGTTTTATTCATGTTTTATATAAAGTAAGAAAATGAATTTTATTTTAGCGCTTAACGCATTGAAAGTGCCATCATGCTGCTTTACGTCCTGGCGGTCCTGCATATTTAATATACTCGTTCGTTAGTCGTTACTTCGAGATGGCGTCGAAAATTTAAAGTTGCATATTTGTTAACATTCCTGTTCAAAATCTATATGTACATTGGGCTTGATTTAGCCTACACAGTTTATTTCCCATAGTGCCACCCAAGTTAATCGTGCTGTACTACACAGTCACCTATATTATGCAGTATACACTATACAGTCCCCTATATTATACTGTACATACTGTGTACAGTACAGTATACTACATACAAGTACATACCCCTGTATAGTGTACTGTACTGTACACTGTGTACAGTGTACAGTATTATATAATGTGCACTTTGAAGTTCACGTAAAGTGAAGTTTCAAAATCTAAACTTCACACGTTCCCTAGTTAGGACCTGTAATACTACTTTCCTATATTAACTACAATCGACTCACAAGAATGAGTAAGACTCCCTTTATATAAAAAAGTTTTATTACGATGTTAAAATACTGGCATTAGAAACTACAGATATAATATCAAAAGAATATCCACTATGACTTCTCCGAGCTAACCCATGAATCTAGCTCTACAATTACATTAGCCTCCTTATATATCTATCTTTGATGTAAATATTTACATCAAAACTCTATCACAATTTTCCCTATACAAAATAGTATATCGTAACGGCTACAGTATTGGAGCCCTTTAACATGATCCGCGTCTTGTTTATATCGCCTCGAACCTTGTTCCTCAGCTTCTCGACCAATAGTCAATCTTCTAGGGCTTCCATCTGCGCTTCTCGCCAAGAGGCCTATTAACACCGTTACATCTTTCCGATTCCCATCGATAGATAATCAATAGCGTATATTGCGGCAACATAGGAGGAACTGACACCATGTTCTACAATGTTCCACACAACTAGAGACAATTCGATATTACACCGCTACAGGACCATAGGGATGAATCACAATGATTAGAACTTGCAAGTGTTAGGAAGGCTTACTATGTATAAATAGGGCAGAAACCTATAGTATTACGTAGAATAGGTATGTTGGAACTATTGGGAAGAACCACAATGGTTAGAGCTTCTAAGTGTTAGGAATACTTACTATAGACTCTGCAGATACCCTATGGTATGATCTGCCATCGAGGGTATGATTCTGTAGATACCCTACGGTATAATTTGCCGTCGAGGGTATAAAACCTGCGAATTTTTAAGAGAGAGTTGAGATGCTACACATGGTTTGTAGCTGTGTTGTTAATATAAATACCGTACGGTACGGTACCAGTTGCTTGTATGTTCTACCATGGTAGCTTATTATTAAAACGTATATCGCTATGCTCAACGTACGGTAGTTTATCGACCTTACAGCAGCTTCACATAATTTACTGTTATGTTCCATATCTTTTATTATCATCTACATAGTTTATGGATATTATGCTCCACATAGTGCATTATTTCCATGTTCCATATACTGTACTGTACTGTAGTTTGTCGTTATTTATGTTCAACATAATTTATCGTATTTCTCATATAGATTAATTAATTATTGCTGTTGTGTTCCACGTAGTTTATTGCTTTGATGTATCCACATAGTTTATCGTTATTATATTCCAAGAAGTTTGTCGCTATTATGTTCCACATAGTTTATTGCTTTTGGGCTCCTCATATAGATAGTAGTTTATCACTATTATATTTCACACAGTTTATCGTTGTTATGTTCCACACACTATATTATATTTTACATAGTTTATTGTTATTATGTTCCACATAGTTTATCGTTATTATGTTCCACATAGTTTATCATTATTTCACACTCCACACTGTTTCTCATTAAGTTCCAAATAGTTTTATACTTATTATGTTCCACATAGTTTTATCGCTATTATGTTCCACATAGTTTATCGTGATCAGGTCCCACATTGTTTATCGTTATTATGTTCCACATAGTTTATCGTTATTAGGCTCCACTTAGTTTATAGTTTATTATGTTCCACATAGCTCATCGTTGTATATCTCCCTCATAATTAACTAAATCATCTCTTTAGAAACTTATGAAATATGGAACTGCAAAATGTAAGAGAATGATGTAAAATTGAATTAAGGCACAGTAATTAGGAGACATAAAGACATGTGGTGATGTAGCAAAAGAATAGTCTATGTACAGAGCACTGTAACTGACACAAGTCCATACCGTGGTCAATACAAATACAAATAGCCTTTACATTTAATTGATCGATTGATCATCCATAATGTAGCAACATTTCATGGTTTATATCTTTCATATTTAATATGTAAAGATTTCATTTGAAACCGATTTGATGTGCTTATTATTATTAAAATTTCAGTTTGATTTTAACTGAAACCAAATCATGAATAGGTGTAGTCAGTATATATCCTACTTTTTTCTATGTTTAGCTACTCAGACACTACAATGTAATGTTCGATTAATTGAGTACTGCAAGGGCAGAACTAAGTTATCTCTGTATTTCCAATTTTCAGTAAGGGTATCCAAGGACATTATCAATGTAGGAATTACAGTCTTTACTACTGTACCTTCGTAGGACATTACATGCCGCTAGAGGCTACCGTATAACAGGGTGTTACGAAATAAGATTTTCGTTAGATATGTTGATACAATTTCTATATAACGAGTAAACTCACTGTAACTTTAACTTATTTTGTTAAACTATAGTAGCACAGTCACTTAGGCATAAAATTTATAGTACGTAAATTCATAGAAAAGATTATAGATAAATCAGTTGCCTGAATGCATTTCTGATAAGTTATCATTTGTTTAGAATTAACTAATTATCGGCCGTTCTCTTATTTGTAAGAATGTTATAACATTCGTTGGAATTTATAATATGCCATTACGATAAAAGGTAGATAAACATGTAGTTATTAGGCTTAAGTTAGAAAAGTAAGGGGTAATACTCGTGTTCGTGTTACCCTTGGAGGTAATAAAAAACCCTCTATGGTGTATCCTATACTAGTACCTGTAATAAATAGGTGGATGATTAACATTACCAGCATATGATACGAATCAAGATAAACATAAATATTTATGCCAGGTATTGAGAATAATATTTATGTTTATCACCCAGGCTGAGTGGTATTTAGTGTTAAGAATAATAATATTTATTACATAGGTTGATTGATTTGAAAGATATATAAACGAGAGTAAGAATAGCTTTAAGGTATCGCACATTATAGTATCTAGCGTACCTGTTCTACACTATGACATGATAATAAATTTTTAAATTGTATGTAATCGTCACAACCCCTATGTAGTAAAGGACAGAAAGCAGAGTCTTTTATAGCTTTATTATGTAACTATTTTACTTTACAAAGTATTGTATATGTAATGATGAAATGAAAAGTGTAGAAATCAAGTTACTAAACTTCTAACAAACTTTGATTCTACTTTCTTTGCCCTCTGGTCGACTTAACAAAACTTTGACACCAAATAAAATTGGGGAAACAACCGATCAACAATTTATTAAGAAAATGTGAGGGAGTCTGATCAAACAACCTTCCAAATACTTAATTCTAAGTATTATAACTAAAGAAATAAAAAAATGACAGAACTGAAACTGTCAACAACCAAATAACCTAACAAAAAGAAGAACGCGTTAACTTACAACAGTTCGACCCCTAAGGCCTTTAAATTTCAACAAGTTCTTTAAAAGAATCTTCTTTCGCTCTCTACTATAAATTTTCTGATTGCACTATCATTTATAGGCTTCACAGAGCCGTCAGTGGTACTTAAAACTAAATATTTATTAACCAATCACTCTTAAGATTCATTTTAGAAAACTACTTTGCATCACTATAGAAAATCAAAAATCATTTAAAGTTCAGACACAAATTACCTTATGATTCCCTTACAAACACTATAAAACCGTCAAACTAATTATAAAATGCCTCAAGCTTCACTTCTAACTTAATTTACAATCATTATACATTACAAAAGTCTAAAAATTAATATCAAGATTTAGTCTTAAAAATAACAGTCTAACTACTTAACAATCAACACAACCTCTGCCATTTGCCATCTTATTTAGTATTTTCTTAAGTAAACTTTCCTAATGTAACTTTCATGTCACCTCATAAAATTCTGAAATTTCAAATTCACAACAAAAAGTTCAAATTTCAAAAGTTAGCTCTTATAACATTTTTCAAAAATTAAAATCCAAACATTTAGATTGAAATTATATCGAATACAAATCCGACCGGATCTGGAATTCGAATCGGAAAAATTCGAATTTTATAAAGATCACAGTAATCGCTTATCAAAAATTTTATGTGACAACTATGACTACTTTTCTGACGTATTGACAGTTGATGTTTTAGCGTAAAATTGTACGGTAACTGTACGATTATAGGCAACACTAGTAAAAACTCCCGTCGCTTTACTGACGGTTTACGATAATGTACCAGATATTTTAGTAAAGGTATAAATGAAATTTATTGCTAGATATTGGTATAGTACACTGTAGAGCCATGGACTACTCAATAAGTATAGCAACATTATTTTCGTATTAGATATTTTAGTAAAGGTATAAATGACATTTATTGCTAGATATGGGTAAAAACTACTGTATTCGCACATTACAAAATCATCGATTGTTGCTATGGAGTCAATATCACCTAATCTACCTATTCGATGTAATTGGCGATGATGATAGTTTCTCCTAAGATTACTGTAACGGTAATATTAAATTGTCTCTAGTTGTGTGGAACATGGTGTCAGTTCCTCCTATGTTAGCGCTATATATGCTATTGATTATCTATTGGTGGGAATCGGAAAGATGTAGCGGTGTTAATGGGCCTCTTGGCGAGAGGCGCAGGTGGAAGTCCTAGAA